TCCTTTCCTGACTAAAGCACCCACAGCAGTGTCTGTTCTCTGCAATGATCACTGCCGCTGACCACTGCTCCACCTCCTGGGCCTCTCTCACATCTGGAGCCTGCGCCCTGCCTTGCCACCTTCTATCTAGTGTTGTGGGAACGCCCTGGAGGGCTGCAGTGTGTGGACTGTGATCCACCAGAAACAAGGACAGCAATTCAAAGGCTAAGAAGGAGGCAGGTCCAGGAGGAACCTGTAGGGAGGCCCATCTGGCCAGACCTCCACTGCCCTGTCCAGACTTGAGCTTGCCTAATAGATGAAGCATCAGTCATTTCAGCAACTGGAGATATGAGTCATCATCATCATCATAGCAATCACTGTGTGCCAGGCACTATTCTAAATACTTAAAAACATTAATGTAGTAATTCCTCAGAGCCCCCACATGAGACAGGGACAGCTATGACCCCCATTTCACAGATGAGGCTGAGTAGTGTGCCCAAGCTCACTCAGCCAAGAGGCACAGCAGCCAGGCCTGACAGACCACCTGGGTCCAGCGTCTGCTCTCTTAGCTGCCATGTGCTATAGCAGCCTCTGTTAACAGACACCCTTTCTGGATGACACACGCCAAGTACTTTCCATGGAACCACTCACTTGCTCCTCACAAGGAAAAGCTACATTATTCCCATTTCACAGGTGAGAAAACTGAGACCCAAAGAGAGTTAATGATCTACCCATGGTCACAGAGTTGACAAGGGCTCATTTGCTGGACTCTAAACCCGAGATCATAACTGCTATGCTCCAGGGCCTGCAGGGAAAATTCTGCATCCATGGAGGGGCCAGCGCTAGTTCTCACCTCTCACACAAGGGAGGAGGAGGGGCCTGTGTCCAACACACCCAAAGCCTGCATGGTCTTCAATCTCCCTCCTGCACTTTGGTGCCCATCCCACCATACCCTGCCCAGGCACTGCCCATGACCCTGTAGGCTCAGAGGCTCCTTCGCGGCAGGTGGAGACCACCACCCTCCTCTTTGTCCCCGACATTGCAGGCACCCACCTTCCTGATCGCTATCCACCTGCCACATCTGCAGCCGCCATGGTGATGTCCCTGCAGGGGAGGATGGCCCATCTTCCCTTTTTGCCCTCTGGGGAGACTTCTGGTCACTCTCTAATGTTCTGGACAGTTTATCCTTCCATCTTTGTCCTCACTTCACCACTGAAACAAACAAAACAAGCTGGATTCTGCTTCTGAGCTAAAGGTACCCACCTAATATTCCCTTTTCATTCACCAGCTCTGCCCCCAGAGCCTCAAGCCCAGCATCTGCCCTTTAGTGGATGCTTAGAAAAACACCAGCTGGACACATAAAGTGCTGTTCCACTGTCCCCCAGACACTCCAGAACCCTGCCCTCCCCACTATCCCCTTCTGCACCCTGACTGTCCTTGAGAACCTCTTTGGCAGAAGCCCTCCAGTGAGACTGCAGCTTGACGCACTTACCCTGTGTTAACTGGAGCCGCTCTACTTCATTCTGCATAATAGTTCATTGGATTCAAAGTCTCCACCTGCTGTGGAAGCAACCACCTGCTCTTCTCATAACTCTCCCCAGCCTATGCAGTGAAGAATCAAACTCTACCCAAGAAGTCTGGCCTTTGTCCTGGCTCCTGGGAAGTCCCACCAGCTACAAACCCTTGGAGTAAAGAATGTGGCTGGTTGTCAGCAGTTCCCAGGAGGTAGGCCGAAATTCCCAGGGATTTCCCAAGTGATAGGAGTATCTTATTATTCATAGAGGGCCCAAGAGGTTATGTGAGTGAAGTGACTCGTGGTGGGCCCTAAGTAGTTTTTTATGACAATGTAACTGTGGAGGGGCTGGCCACGCCACTGAGATTCTGTGATATTAGCCTGGCCTCCTGAGGTGGACCTGAAAGATGAGTTCAACCCAGTAGCCAGTGAGTCCATCCACCACACCTAGAATAAAAACTGTGGACCCTAAAGCTCAGGTAACCTCCCTGCTTGGAAATAGCATTTAGTCACACATCAAGGTGCTGAGAGGGTGATGCCTCTGATGCTACATGGGGAAGACAACAAGAGCTTTGTGTTTGGGCCCTTTGCCATCTCACCCCTGTGTTTCCTATTTTGGCTGGTTCCGATTAGAATGCTTTTGCTATGATAAAATTGTGGCCTTATGTATAGCACTCTACTGAGTTCTGTCAGTCATCCTAGTGAATTATGGAACCTCAGAGGTAGTGGTAACTCTCAGATTTGCAGCCAGTCAGTCAGCAGTGGGGGTAGGCTGGGGACCCCTGAATGTGCAACAGGTGTCTGAAGCGAGGGCAGTGTTGTGGGGGACCGTACCCCTCACCTGTGAGGTTTGGCTCATCTCAGGTGGTTTGGCATCTGAAGCCACTGCATTTAGTTTGGTAACCTCGTTGCCCAGTCCCAGTGGAAGGATCCTAAACCTTTCTGATACAATTATCCACATTTTCTCCTTCACAGAACTTGAGACACTGCAATAAGATCCAAAGCTATATATACATACATACATACATATATATATATATATATATGCACACACACACACACACACATATACATAGTGAAATACTATGCAGCCTTGAAAAAGAAGGAAACCCTGTCATTTGCAACAACATGGATGAACCTAGAGGACATTATGCTAAGTGAAAAAAGCCAGGCACAGACAGACAAATGCCACATGATCTCACCCATACGTGAAATCTAAAAAAGCCGAACTCAGGGTTCAGGGAGGCAGAGAGTAGGATGATGGTCACCAGGAGCTGGGAGGGTGGTGATCAGGAAGATGTTGGTCAAAGGATATAAAATTTCAGTTGGGAGAAATAAGTTAAAGAGAGCCATTGTACAACATGGTGACAACGGTTGATAAAAATATCCTGTATACTTAAAAATCATGAAGAGAGGCCAGGTATGGTGGCTCACGCCTGTAATCAGCAACTTGGGAGGCTGAGGTGAGTGGATCAACTGAAGTCATGAGTTCGAGACCAGCCTGGCCAACACGGTGAAACCTGTCTCTACTAAAAATACAAAAAATTCGTTGGGCGTAGTGGCACATGCCTGTAATCCCAGCTACTCGGGAGGCTGAGGCAGGAGAATTGCTTGAACCCAGCGTGCAGAGGTTGCAGTGAGCCAAGATTGTGCCTTTGCACTCCAGTCTGGGCAAAAGAGTGAGACTCTATCTCAAAAATAAGTACATAAATAAATCACAAAAGAGTAAATATTCTTACCAAAAATAAGTAAGTATGTGAGGTACTGCATATGTTAATTAGCTTATGTAGAAATTCCATAATGTATGCACATTTCAAAACATTATATCATATACCATAAATATGTGCAGTATTTGTCAACTTAATAATAATAATAATAAGGGAAGAAAATATCCAAAACAGAAGCAAAACCTTGGCTGGGCATGGTGGCTCACACCTATAATCCCAGCACTTTGGGAGGCCGAGATGGGTGGATCACTTTGAGGCCAGGGGTTTTGACACCAGCCTGGCCAACATGGTGAAACCCTGTCTCTACTAGAAAAATAAAATAAAATAATTAAAAAATAAATAAATGCAAAAATTAGCCACGCATGGTGGCATGTGCCTGTAATCCCAGCTACTCAGGAGGCTGAGGCTGGAGAACACCTTGAGCCCAGGAGTTTGAGGCTGCAGTGGGCTATGATTATCACTGCACTCCAGCCTGGGTGACACAGTGAGACTCTGTCTCAAAAAAAAAACCACCACCACCACCACCAGAGGCAAAACCTTAGCAATCTTAGCAACACAAATTTTTAGAGGATCTTCCAGAAGAAATTCATAGAGAGAAGAAAGTCAGAGACCAAGGGAAGAGAACTGGAAGCAGGAAAGTTGTGGGAGCAATGCAGCGGGCAGGCAGGCCCCAGGAATCCTGCTGCCTGTGAGCCCTTCTTGGGAGGTGGGGACAGGGCCCAGGCACCCAAGTGAATGGTCGGTCCTTATGTTCACTGCTGGGATGAAGCAAATGAGCACCTTATTGTGTCCAGATGAATTCAATAAAAACAGCAGGGTGGGTGGTGGGGCACTAACAAGGGGAGCTGATTTGTCAGTTGGTAAGACTGTAGCTCCTTCTCCTAATTAGCTGAGGATGTGTTTAGGTTCCATTCAAAAAGTGGGCATTCCTGGCTGGTCATGGTGGCTCACACCTGTAATCTTGGAGCTTTGGGAGACTGAGGTAGGAGAATCACTTGAGCCCAGGAGTTTGAGATCAGCCTAGGCAACATAGTGAGACTCTCATCCCTACCAAAAAATAAAAATAAGCATTATCAGGCATGGTGCACTGGTACACATCTATGGTCCCAGCTATTTGGGGGGTGAGGTGAGAGGATCGCTTGAACCTGGGAGGTTGAGGCTGCAGTGAGCCCTGATCACAACACTGCACTCCAGCCTGGGTGACAGAATGAGACCCTATCTCAGGAAAAAAAAAAAAAAAATTTATTCCTGAAACCTCTAAACAGACTTACCTTGCCAAGGGCTTCCTTATGGATTAGAACCTTATGGACCTGCTGGGACCCAAACTAGGCCTCACCTGATGTGACTTGTCCTTCTCCTCCAAACACCTAAACTTGGGAGAACATTATGCCCCAGTGCTGAGGCAGAGAGTCTGTGCCTGTTATTCTCCCTCTACGTAGAGATGGAGCCCCAGATCAGCTTTTGCACGACAGAACAGTTTCTAAGATGCCACCCATACTTGGAAGAAGCCAGGTTAAAACACTTTTCAAGTCAAACTTTCTTGATATTACTCTATCTTTCCCCAGGAGGACTGCACTACGACAAATTCGGACACCTGTGGCCTCTCCCTCCTATGCAAAGCAAAAAGCCAGCAGCAGCCCCAAGCTGATAAGATTAATCTAAAGAGCAAATTATGGTGTAATTTCCTATGCTGAAACTTTGTAGTTAATTTTTTTAAAAAAGGTTTCATTTTCCTATTGGTCTGATTTCACAGGAACATTTTACCTGTTTGTGAGGCATTTTTTCTCCTGGAAGAGAGGTGCTGACTGGCCCCAAATGACTGACAATCTGGTGTAACGAAAATTTCCAATGTAAACTCATTTTCCCTCGGTTTCAGCAATTTTAAATCTATATATAGAGATATCTTTGTCAGAGCATAGCATTGTTAGCTTCTCCTGATAAACTAATTGTCTCACATTGTCACTGCAGATTGACACCTATTAATGGGTCTCACCTCCCAACTGCTTCCCACTCTGTTCTTCCTGTTAGCATGTGCCGGCAACTTTGTCCATGGACACAACTGTGATGTCGCCTTAGAGGAGATCATCAAAACTTTGAACATTGTCACAGAGCAAAAGGTGAGTACCTATCTGACACCATCTCTCCAGATGTTCTGGTGATGCTGTCAGTATTTCTAGGCCATGAAAACCTAACAGCTGCTAGAGAGGTTGAAACTCGTGGCCAGGGCAGCCAGGGGAGCAGAGGGAGGCTTCTCCCCTGACACTCTGTTTATCTGAGGGTCTGTAGGAAGTTTTCTCAGTTGGAGGGAGTGAGATATGCTCATCAAGGACTGCTCTGTCCAGTTGGAGGTTAACTCTGTCTCTTGCTCTCTCGTTTCTGCCTGGACCAAGACTCTGTGCACCAAGTTGACCGTAATGGACATCTTTGCTGCCTCCAAGGTAAGAAGCCGTCCCGCGGTCTGTTTTGGCAAATGGCGACAGCCATCCCCAAGTGTCTGAACAAGAAACTTGTTGAATGGAAAACGAGCGGGCCCAAATTAACTATAGGTGTTAGACGTTTTCAAAGAATGAGAATCTGATCTTTACTCTTAAGCATGTTTTGGTCTTTCTGGTTTCACTTGATTTAGAATACGTGTAATAGAAAGCCTACAAACTGTAATCCTGACTCAGATCCTGGTCAAAGAAAAGCCCTCTTGGGTTTTACTTAGTTTTGGCATAGTGCCTGGAATGTACAAGGCACTCAATAAATGTCTGTTGAATGAGAGACTTTTTCTGGCCCATACATTTCTGAAAAACCAAATACCCTCACAAAAACAGATATTGAGATGACAGGTTGAGGGAGCTTTCATTTTGTCTAAGAGACTTCCTACGGCAACAGAAAAGGTATTGCCAGAGCCCTCCTCTTACACAACCTGGCCACCTAACAGCCCATTGGGTTCCGGGGCTGGCTATCCAGACCCCCTCAGCTTGCTCTGGCTGGCCAAACTGTCCTCCAGCCCGGTCCAGAACCACCCTGCTAGGCGGCGTCCAGCACATCCCTGCTTCGGGCTGCCTGGGCATCTCGCCTCTCTGCCTCCTGTGCTGCCTCACCCCCACCCCTCTATCTGTAGTGGGAGGAGACAGATGTGACAGCTGATAGTGCATTTTCTCTGACAAACATGACTACAGCCATATCAATAGTTTTGTGCACTTCAGTTCCTGTTTTCATGGAAACACACGGCTGAGAATGAAAGCCCCAAAGCCTCAGTTTAACAGTGGTCTCCTAACTACCTGCTTTCTGCGCAATGAAGCCCTGTGGGCTGGGCAGGGCCATACCCTGGCACCCAGGCCATAGAACACGGCCCATCCTGCTCCATGAGGGACACTGCTCTTCAGGCCTTTATCTGGACTATCTCATTTCATTAAAGGTTATCCCAAGAGTCCGATACAGGATGACATTCTGAAGGACAAATACACACTTTTTTTTTTCCTGAGATGGGGTCTTGCTCTGTCACCCAGGCTGGAGTGCAGTAGAGCGATTTCAGTTCACAGCAGCCTCCACCTCCTGGGCTCCAGCAATCCTCCTACCTCAGCCTCCCAAGTAGCTGAGAGAATGGGTGTGCACCACCATGCCCAGCTAATTTTTGTATTTTTTGTAGAGATGGTGTCTTGCCATTTTGCCTGGGCTTGTCTCAAACTCCTGAGCTCAAGCGATCTGCCACTTAGGACACCAAAATGTTGGGATTAGCCACCACACCCTGGTAGCAGTTTATATATGTGTGTGTGTGTGTGTGTGTGTGTGTGTGTATAAATGTTTTATATATATATATATAATCTATCTATCACCTATCTATCTCTCTATCTAAAATCTCCAAGTCTTTCCAACCGAGATGGCTCCTACTAGCATCCAAGAGCCCACTGGGTTGAGCCCTGGAGGCCTACTGCTGAGAAGGCTCTCACAAAGCCAAGGGAAGTGCCAGCTCTCTAGAAGCCAGGCCTGGAGGAAGGGTGAGGGCCTGGAGGTGAGGCTGCCTGTGGTTTTGGCCCCAGCTTTGCCACTCACTAGCTGTGTGGCTGCCCTTCAGCACTTCTTCACACCTCTCTGCACCTCAGTTTCCACATGTGAAGATACGAAAGTGATTCTGAAGGTGATTGCAGAGCTGATTGGAATCCAGCTTTTGAGTTAGTGGAAAGTGCTTTTGTGAGATGATATAACTCTGATTAAAAGCAAAGACAGGTTGCAGAGAAGTGATGGTTCTAAGAAGGAGGGGCCCAGGTTGGAGAGGATCAAACCTTCCAGGATGCCGAGCCTGGGGCGACCCATCTGGGCTGTTTCTGCAAGACCCCCAGACACAGGCCAGGACACACCGCTGCCCTCCCGTCCTTAACTCCCCTCTTCACTGTCCTCACTCACCCCTCTCACCACACACAGACATCTCCTAGAACAATCCCACTGTCTGCCTTCGCTCTCACCTGTCTCACGAACTTCATCCTCCTGGAGTTCGCAATCTCAGTCTTCCACTCTTTTCTTCCCCTCAAAGATTCAGCACTGCTTACTTCCATGTTAAGATATTTCAGAACGTGATATGTTGCTATTTTCAAAGCCTACAGAGGTGTTATGCAGAGAAAAATGTACTTCTTTGTGTTCCCAAAGAAAACATCTTTCCAAAATCCAGCCTATTAATTGTATTATACTAAAGAATTGGAGTATCTCTGAGTTGGGCAGCATTCTACTCTTGGCAGCTGCTGGAAAGAAGGCACTGATCTAGGTCCTGGGCTTCATAGGCAACACCTGTCAAGGCTGTCCAAAGAACAGCAAAGTGGGAAGAAGCGAGCTGGCTGGTTGATGAAGGGTTTCTTGGGTGGACAAGTAGGTGGAGGTATTTCCTATTTACCAGAGAGAGCTAAAGTTCATAGTTCTACAGAGAGTTCCATAATGAACCTCAAATATCTCGGTTTCTGAAGGAGTTTCCCAGCTGACTATGCCCGGCTGGACAGGAGATAACGAATGCAGTGCCAATCAGGCTGGATTTGTATGGTCCTCAGTGAAGCTGGTCAAGAACCAAGTTAGAACTCTCACAGAGTCACTGCCACGGAAGAAATCTCCCAAGTGGCTGTTTCCTGACATTCCCGGGAGGGACAGAGTTCCTTCCAGCATGGGCCCAGGCCCTCCTTCTGAGTGACTCCCTAAGCAGTTCTGAACTGTGAAGTCTGTCAAAGTGCTCCCCTGAGGCACTGCCCTAGGACAGACACACCCAGCAGCAAAAGCTAGATAGGCAGGTAGGAGCGGTCTGGGGCCAGGACAGGATGGAGTGTCATCCCGTGGCTGTAATACCAGTGCAACCACAACGTTAAGGCCTTGCACTAAAACTGCCCTTAGGATGCGTTCTTCTAAAGTTTTTCCATTTGATGCAGACTCTTTTCAATTCTTATTTCATCCTCATTCCCTTTAGAAAGTCCTTTGAAAAACATCTTTAGAGGGTTTTTTCCTACACTTATGTGGCCATATATGGGTCAAAATTAAGTTTAATTTCTAGGCTCCAAGCCAACATTTCAGAAAATATCTCACCAAAGTTTGTGGGAAAAGAAGCAAAGCGCTGACTCTTTGGCTTTCCTGAATCTCACCGCTCCCTCTGCAGCAGCATGGGTGTCTGCCCTCTAGACACACAGGTAGCGTCTGCCCCCACCCCGTGTCCTCTCCACTTCGACTGGCCCACAGAGCCCAGAGAGGTCTGTTTCTTGGCTCCGAGAGCCCAGAGATACTGGCACACTCTTACATTTCCCACTAGCATCAGGAACCAGGAGTGATTTTCAGTTCATTAAGTAAGTGTCCTTCCAACCGCTCTGCCCATGGACATCATGCCGCACAGGGGGAAGGGGAAGGGTAAGGGGGAAACTTCTATAGCCAGGGATTCTGGTACCTCAGTCTGGATCTAGATCTTCCTGGAAAAAACATTAAAATATGAACTGCATTCCCAGAGTTTAGTCTACATAAATAAGAGATGAGCACAAAGATTTATATCGTTTACTCACTGCCGCTTACTTACGGAAGAAAAAGCTGCTCCAATAGGGGCCTGACAAATGACAGTACAGCTATGCCATGTGTTCCTCTGCAGTTCTCAATCCCACGCTCTTAAATACCACCGAAGGCCTTAGGAAGTGCTTATGGTATATGTAAAGCGTAAAAAAGTTACAAAACAGTGTCAACAGTTGATCTCTATTTTAAAAAGAGAAAGTATTTTTAAAAGTGTGATATTTACCAAAATATTAACAGCAGTTACCTCTGGCTGGTGGGATGAGTGAATGCATTTTTGTTGAATATATATTACCTTTATAGTAAATATATATTACCTTGATCATCAGAAAAAAAAAAAATGTAAGAACTTAAAAGCTGCTTGGACAGTGCTGCCGATAGAAACCCTGAGGATCTTGTCGCTGCTCTTCTGACTCAGAGAGTCTGGGCCGGGCAGGGGTGGTCTGAGATTCCGCATTCCTAACAAGTGATGTCCACGCGACTGGTCCGTGGACCACACTTTGGGTAGCAAGGAACCAGAGCATGTCCGGGCAGAGGCTGGAGATAGCTTTCTTTGTCTGAACTGGATAAAGGAACTGGGCTCAAGCTAAGACCCCTCTCCAGGTTCTGCATCTTTGTTCTTCAGTGGAAAATGAGAGGACATACCAGACCCAGTTCAGACTGAGACACAATCCCTTTCCTGGGTTCCCAGTGACTTGTTTCCCTATGTGTCCATTCCCGCCTCTAAAGCTAAGGGCCCCAGGAAGAGCCATGTGGCCAGATCCTCACAGTTGCCGGCATTCCAAGGAGATTCTCACTCCGTACCATGTGGGGCCAAAAGGCCCCTTACAGAAGCTCTGCCCAAGGCTCAGCTCAATGGCACCCACTCCCAGAGCCTCCCCTGATCTCCCCGGGTACCCTTCCCCAAACTGCACACTTATCTCTTGCTGCCTGGGGAAATATCTTAGCTCCTCACTTGGACCATGTGCTGCTCTCCTCTCCCATGGGGAGGGCCAAATGGAGAGTGCTGCCCAAAGCAGCAGAGTCCAGGGCAAAAGATGTGTGCTCATTTATTCATCAGGCATGCAGGAGTTCCAGGGAACGCTGGATTTTAAACCCTTTTGGGAACGACAGCAGAACCTGACTGAGAGCTCAAGTGGGCACTTTCCATAGAAAAATAGCTCCCAGGGTAGAGAGACAGGGATGCGGAATCAGGGTTGTACAACACATGGTCCTGCATTCTAGTCCCCACTGTGCCCTTCCCTCATGGGGTGACTTTATTCAGATACCCGTTCAGCAAAATCGGCTGCTGCGTTTGCAAGTAATTGGGTGAGGTTGTTGACAGAGGTGTATGTCTGTGGCAAGCAGCCTTCCTTCAGTGGAATACTTGAAGACGGGTCTGTAGTGGAGCAAACTCACCTCCATTTGTCCCCCTGGAAAGAAGAAATCAAGAGGAAAGATTTCTCTCCCATCCTCCAAATGGAGCTGGCACATGGCTATCTGTGGCATTTGTCTTTCCAGAACACAACTGAGAAGGAAACCTTCTGCAGAGCTGCGACTGTGCTCCGGCAGTTCTACAGCCACCATGAGAAGGACACTCACTGCCTGGGTGCAACCGCACAGCATTTCCACAGTCACAAGCAGCTGATCCGATCCCTGAAACGGCTGGACAGGAACCTCTGCAGCCTGGTGGGCTTGGTAAGCTGCACTGCATTCCCAGGAAGCAGGCAGCGTGGCTCCTGGTGGACAGCAGCCTCACTTCTAAACGCTCCTCCTCAGGAGCTGCAACACCCTTGGTCAACCCATTCATTCATTCATTCATTTAATAAGTATTTGCTGAAGTTCCACGGGTGCTGCGTGCTGTTCCAGGTGCTGAGGATGTGTCATTAAAGATGACACACAGGCTGAGTCCCTGTTCTCATGGAATGTTCTAGTGGGAGAATTAGAAAAACAAACATGTAAAATGATGCCCAGTAGTGACAAGTGCTACAAAAATATATATAGGAATAATGAACGTAAGGGTCATGGGGGAGTGGACTGACGTAGGAGCTGGTGACATTATCTGCGCAGATATTTGAATTACGTGAGGGAGCAGGCCACGTGATTAACTGGGGAGACACCATTCCAGGCAGGAGGAGGAGCTATGCAAAGGCCTTAGGATGGAAATGAACTTCCTGTGTTTAAACATCAGTAGGAAGGCCAGTGTGGCTGGATCAGAGTGAGTGAGGGGGAGTTTCTAGGACAGCAGATCACACAAGGCCTTTAGATTCTACCACAAGTATGGCAGGGAACACCTGCAGAGCTTTTGGGCAGGGCAAAGACTGTAGGATCTGATTCACACAATTTAAAATGGTCAGTCTGGCTACTGCGTGGTAAATAGGCTGAAAGGGGGAAAGCACAGAAGCAAAATGGCCTGTTGGGAGGCTACCACACAGGCTAGAGAAGATGGTGGCATGGACAGGGTGGGAGCAGTAGAAGTGAACAGATTTGGGATGTGACTAAAAATAGAGCCAGAAGGATCTGCTGACAGATCTGTTGTAAGGGGTAAGAAACGGAGGAGGAAAAGATGACCTCTTCATTCCTGCCCAGACTCGTTTGGCGATAGTTGGTACTGTTTACAGAGAGATGGAAGACTGGGGTCAAGGCAGGGCTGGAGGTTGAGCAGAAGATCAAGAGTTCAATTTTGTACATTGCACATATAAGGTGGCTGTTGGATAGCCAAGTGAAGGTGTTGAGAAGATGGTTAGAGAAGTCTGGAACTTGGGGAAGAGGTCAGAACTTGCAATATAGAATGAAGAGTCCTTAGAGAGATGCTATTGAAAGTCTGAATGACAGAAAGGGAGAGATCCAAGGACCGAGCCTGAGATTACTCCAACATATGGCGGTCAGGAGAGAAGGATCCAGCCAAGAGGCCTGGGGAGTAGCAGCCAGTGAGGCAGGAGAACACTGGAGAGGGGGCGGTACCTCAGGAAGCTGGCGAGGACACTCAAGGAGGGAGGGTTGACTGTGTCAAATGTACTAAAAGGCCAGGTCAGGTGAGGACGGCGAAAGGCCCCTGGGTTTGGCTGACAGAGGCCGTGGGTGAGGCTGATGTAAATCGGTAGGAAAGAAAGCCCGACTTTGAAGAGGACTCACCAAGCAGGGGCAGCAAGAGGAGCCAAAGAGGGAACAGTGAAGGGAGAACACTCTCGGAAGGTGTTTAGCTATAAGGCTGCAGAGAAACAGAACCACGGCTGCAGGGCGGTTATGGAGTGAGGGAAACTCTTTTTAAGGTGGGGGTATACCCAGCATGCACCGTGGGAATGGGCCGTCAGGTGAGGGGAGAATTGAGGAGCGGAGAAAGAGGGAGAATCACTAGAGGGCAGAAGTCCTCGTGGCCCAGAGTGGATGTTATCTAACATCAAGTAAAGGAATTAATTGGCTTTAGAGGAGAACAAGGACATGTATCATCCCTTCTCTGGGCCTACTGCCTTGTATACACTGGGATAGGTAATGGGATAGGGACTTGGCACAACACATATTCTCTCTTTTAATTATCTCCATTATCTTATGAAGCAGGCAAGTAGTAAACAACGGTCCCAACTTTACAAATGAAACTGACGCTTTTATAAATTAAGTAGTATGTCCTAAGCAATGCAATTAATAAATGGTAGAGCTGAGATGCAAACTGAAGCAGTGGTCTGGTGGTGGCATCTAGAGTTCTTCCCGCCTTTAGGGCTGCTGTGCTGCGGTGCTGCTGTTTAAGGCCAGGAGGGCTGCATGACTGAATCTCTCAGCAGTCCAGGCAGCCATGCAGGAGACCCAGTACAGCACTGGGTAGGTCTGAGCCAGCATCTTCGATCACACCTTCTGAGCAAGCACCTAGCTGTGACACACCTCTCCAGAGACTGCACCCGCCCCACACCCCTGAACGCAGATAGGTAATGGTATACAGTAACCATTTCTAGAAGTGTAAGTAGTATGCACCCAAAACAGGTAAAACCTGCTGGCCTAGTGACAGAGACAACTCCCAGTCAGGCTAGACTGGAGGCCCTGGTTTGATAAGTGTTCAGGTGGCAAGTGCCAGAGTGGGCTTGACCAAGTAGACAGGCAGGGAGGACAAATGCTTACCAATGCAAGCTAACGAAATGTTTCTTTCGTAGAATTCCTGTCCTGTGAAGGAAGCCAACCAGACTATGTTGAAAGACTTCTTGGAAAGGCTAAAGATGATCATGAAAGAGAAATATTCAAAGTGTTGAAGCTGAATATTTTAATTTATGAGTTTTTTATAGCTTTATTTTTAAAATATTTATATATTTATAACTCATAATAAAATAAAATATATGCAGAATCTAATAGCAATGGCATTTAATGGTCTTGACTATGTTTATTTGACAAATGAAATTATGGTTTGCAACTTTTATGGCAATCAATTTAATTTACCAAGAGACTATAAATGGTGTGGGAGCAAAACAGGAAAGACCACTTCCCCCTCTAGGAGCCCCCTCTGGAATTAGGGATATAACACACAAGATAATTAAAGAATACAAGGCCATGCAAGATGTAAATGATAAGACAGCTTGGGTCCATGAGTGCTATGGATTACCACGTTTCTGAACAGAAAAGGTATCGACTGGATATCCAGAATGTTCTCCCAACCTTGACACACAGATTGTTATATTGAGTCTACAGAAAAAAGTAATCCTCAGTACACCACATGGCTCTACAGTGAATGATATTTAAAGTCATAATAATGTAAAGTATCTTGATTCCCAAGTCTTAGAACCAACCAGTATACAAAGCACAGAAGATCTGATGATGGTTAGAGAACAGACTACACATTGCTATCCACCAGACAATATAAGAGCTATAGCTGGAAATGTCTGGGAGGTGAAAGTAGAAGAAAAGAAAGAGAGGTGGACACCACTATCTCCAGCTTGCATGGAGAAGGAGGCAGTTAAATAATACTATCTATGGTGGATGGAATAAGAACACAAGATTTAGAGAGTTATCAAAATTACAAAGGTAATAGAAGAACCAAATAGAATTTACTATAAAAACTTGGAAGTTGTAGAATAAATTAGGCAAATTCTCTTTCTTCAATAGGGAAATGAATATATGATATCTAACATTGATAAAGCAAAAAACAGTTGGTAAAAGCGGTCATGGGTTGGCAGTTGTTGCAGCTGGGGATGTGTACAGGGGGTTGATTATACTATTCTGCTTTTCTACATAATTGAAAGTTTTCATCATAAAAAGAAAAAACAATAATGAATGAATCAAGAAATCTTTGGAATTATAATGGTAGTCACTGGAAAAACTAAAAAGCAAAAGGGAAGATGGATTGCTGGGACGGGACTTGGACTAAGGAGGGGTGAAACAGGGCTGGAGATTTTCGGCTTTCCATTATAAGTCCGTGTGTGTGTGTGTGTGTGTGTGTGTGTGTGTGTGTGTGTGTGTGTG